TGGGCTTCAGGCAAAGAACAATTTGTGGCCCCCACAGTGGCATTAAAACCCCGGCTCAGTTCCTCTCTGCTCCATGGTCCTCACTTTGTCTCCACCGTGGCCCAAGATGGTGGCAGCTGCACAAGGCGACACAGCCGGACACCACAGGAGAAGAGTCGAGTCAAGAACTGGTTTGATCAGGCTCCTTCTCACACCACAGGAAATCTTTTCTGAAATCTCCAGCCGACTTCCTATCATGTCTCACTGGCCAGAACTAAAAGCTACGTACGTTCTCCTCCTTCAACTACCTACCAACCCAGAAAATAGGTTTACCACAAATGAGTTAGAGTTTAGTGATTCGCAACCCTGACTGCACTTTTTTTTTTTTTTTTGTACAGCTTCCCATGTAATTCTAAAGGTCAGGTAGGACTGAGAACCACTGAGACTCATCAGAAGTACTCTTAACCACCTCTCCCTGAGTCACCTGGGGAAGGGTGTAGACCACTGAAAACATCTGGATTGTCGCAGAGAAAAAAAGAATGTTGGCTGGACCAACAATGGAACTTACACCATCACTTTTACATCTGTGTTTTCCAAACACTTGCACACCATGTTCTTCAGTCCCATTTTACAGATAAGGAAAGTGAGGCCGGTTTCCGAAGTGAAATTATTTTAAGTCTTCCAAATCTCCCTACGTTTCAACACAATAGCAACTTGAAAAGCTGCTCCAAAAGGAATTACCACATGAACCATATCTCTGAAACAATAAACACAAAGCAAAAGGGAACTTTTGTGTTCTCCTGAGGAAAACAAAGCAAAAATCACTGAAATAACAAAGCCTAAAAGAAGTACTAAAGCCAAGGCTTGGGAGGCTTCAATTCTACTGTGTTTCCCCCAAAATAAGACCCAACCGAAAATAAGCCCTAGCATGATTTTTCAGGATGCTCGTAACATAAGCCCTACCCGCAACGTAAGCCCCAGTTAAGATCATCAGCCAGACATGACTGTTTGAATAAATGCAGATTTTTGTACATGAATAAATGTAGATTGTTGGAGCAAAAATTAATATAAGACCTGGTCTTATTTTGGGGGAAACATGGTAGTCCTGGCTCGGCGCTAACATCCTTCTCCATATCTGTGATAAGAGCAGTCTCACTTATGAGGGCCCCTCCAGCTGTTCATTCTCTCCCCGCCTCCCCGGTCCTCCATCCTCCATTCTCATTCTCTCTCTCTCTCTCTCTCTCTCTCTCTCTCTCTCTC